ATATTTTTATTCCTGGCTTCAAAACGTGATGATGAAGAAGGGGAAAGGGGAGCAGGACCTGTACTTAATAAAATTTTACGAACGGTTTTCAGACTTAATTTTGTACGTGTACACGAACAATAATCTGCACCACCTGAACCCGTTGGCTTGCTTCAATTTCAGGGACATTTTGTATAAGGGGATCAATAAAGATTTTTATTGTAACCCTAGGGAAATCTACGAAATTATAATTTTGCTGTTCGAGTTGGCCAGGAAAAACAACTTCTACCACCTGGTCGAATTTTTAGAACCTTCCTTTTATTTCCAGTACACGAGGTGTATAAATAAGAAGCAGTTCATTTATTACATGCATACAGTGAAGGAGACCATTGTTTACTTGATTCAAAATAAATACATCTCCAATTTGGACTATGACATGTTCAAACATATTTTGCTGTCGAATTATATGAAGAACGCCGACTGGGTGAAGGAGGAGGAGGGTCATGAAGGTGGAAAAGATAAAGTGGTCGACGAAGGGGAGAAGGGTAACGTGGGGGACGAAGAGGCACCAAAGAACGAAACAAAAGACACTCAAAGCAGTAGCACCACGAAGCACCTGTACAGCAACACTGCGAAGGAAGTTGTTCCAAAGCAGCATCTTTTCCAGGAACTCTACAAAAGTGTTGTACTGGACGAGAAGTACATACTGAACAAATCGCACGATTTGGTGAAGTACACCGAAACGGTAAACACAGAACAGGAATATCTAGATAGCAGTAAGTTGATAGAATTACTAAAGCAGTTAGAACAGATTAACTTCCTCCCATGTATTGTGTTTAACTTTGAGAGAAAGGAGCTTGAAGATATGACTATAAATCTGATTAACGAACTTATGAAAAGACAACACGATAAATATTACGGAGATGAAGAAAGGACTTTTAACACGAAGATGGAAAATAAAATGAGACAAGAAAGGTACGAAAATTTGCTCAAACAGAGAGAAATGTTGTTAAAAATGAAGACCGTTTCGCGTAATCAGAGGTTGGAACAAAATATGGATAAGGAATATTTGGACATGCTCAATGAAGAAGAGATTCCAGAACCACCAGTCGACGTTTCGGAAGAATATGATGGAGATTTCTACTTCTGCAACAGGAAAGTCTACATTAACTATGTTACAGAGATAGAAGATTTGATCAAATCTGCGGAAAGAGCCATCGAAGGAAGGAAGTACAAATCTGTGCTAATAGAAGGTCTGAAAAGGGGAATAGGACTACATTATGAAGTACTGCCTTATAAATTTACCATCATTGTGGAGTCCCTATTTCGACTAGGATATATTAAAATTATTTTTAGCAATAAGAATTTATCGCTAGGTATTAATATACCCTGTAAATCTATCATTTTTGCTGGACATACTTTCGAATTAAATTCAGTCATGTTTAAACAAACGTCTGGAAGAGCCGGAAGAAGAGGCTTCGATTTGTATGGAAATATTATCATATGGAATATTAACTTTAAAAATTTAAGGAGATTAATTACGTCCCCTCTGCAGACGCTGTCCGGTTCCTATGCTGTGAATTTTACGAATATATGCAGAAGTATGCTGTTGTACAACTGCTTGAAGAAGAATAAAGACATGGAGGAAATTACCAACAGAAACAAAGCAGTGGTTAATAAGCCCATTAAGAAGAAGAAGAAAGATGAAACCATGACTGTTGCTGAAAAGGAAGAGATATTTGAGAAACACAGAAGTATTAACGTAAATTTTTTTACCCGAATTAATGGTATCCTTAGCGTTTTTTACAATTCGTTGTATTATGTAAATGCCTTCCAACATTGGGGCGATGGCGACGGGGATGATAAAACTGGCTCTCATTTTTCACAACGTGTGACTATGACAAAGGGGGGACCACCAAACCAGGAGAAATTGCAAAATGGGGAAGTAGCGAGGAGCGAGATTTCTTCCTCCGCTGATGCGGCGCACATGGGAAATGAGAAGAACCCCGGAGTGGAAGCAACTGAATTGTTAAATTACCACCCTAGTGAATTCACTCATCAGAAGGAGAAAACCAATGCGCTGAAGAAATACGTGGATAGAAAATACGAATACAACGACTTATACTGCGAATTTTTAGCCATGAACAAAGGAAAGAAAAGTGAAGTAACGGAAGGAGAAAAACACTTAAAGGAGTTGTGCTTCAGAATTAAAGTCCACTTTCTAATGTTTATAAACATTTTGGTCGAGATGGAAGCAATAGATGAAGAGTGCAATATAATAAATATGACCGAGCTAGCCATATTTTTAAAAAAAGAATGTGACAACAATTTAGTATTAACCTATTTGTTAGTAAAAAAAGTGTTACATAATATTGTTGGAGATGGCACATTTTTAGGCTCCTCTGTTGGTATGATTCCGCTGCAAAAAATAATTGATCGTGTAATGTTTGAGAAGAATTATTCGCGTAATGTTTTGGTAGACGATTCTACAAGAGGGCAATTCATTTTGTTATTTATACTTTCCCATTTTATTAATAAAATAAAAGAAAACAAAATAGCCTTGACGAAGGTGCTAATAAATCTCAATTGTAAAGTTAGAACGAAATTGGAGTTATTTAGCCCCACGTATTTCCCCTTATTGCACATTTTGCCTGCCCCTGTTCGAAAGCATATAAAGAACATTGAAAGCGTTTTGTTGAGGTACCTCATGAATTACTCCTTGCTGGTTTTAGCAAAATTAAATTTGTTAGACAGGAAGAAGACGCACTTACTGCCCTACACCCAGCTGTACATTTTCGAGCAACACCCATCACTCCATTTGGAGGAGATATTTCCGAAGGGTCATTCCGAGTACTTGGCCTTTTATCAGTCGAAGGTTAGAAAAAGAGAGTGATCATTGATGCAGTGTGGTTGAAGTGTATTATATGTTCCGCACCATGGGGATTTGCTCCCCCGCTGGAGCGATCATACGTGTCTCCAATTGGGCCGAAAAAGAGGGAAGCGATACGAATTTGGCATTTTTTTATTTTTCTTCATTTTAACTGTTTATTTATTTTTTTTTCCTTTTTTGCAGCTCCGAGACTACAAAGTAAGATCGCCTTTCCTCGCTTCCCTATACCAGTGCGACAATTTCGAAACCCTAGATGAACTGCTTTACACGTCTATACTGGACTTAGATATACGAAAGAACATGATTCCAGACATCGGAGAGGATTACGTCTCCTTTTTCAAATTCGAAGATGATGTAATAAAAGAGGAGAAGGTGTGCTTGAAGAATTCCTACATTTTGGATTATTTTATTCATGGCAAATATAACGTACTGAGGAGCAAGAATGATTTGGGTCAGTATAGCTGGTACATAGTGGATCGATTTATCCAGGCACTAAATAGCATCGAACACTTTTTGCATGGAGTGAAGAAGGACAGTCTGTTGCTATCGTCCGACGTTTTTTACACGTATCTGAACACCTTGAAGGAGGTTTTGGAGAAGTACTTCAATTCGATTAATTCTGTGCAGGCTCAGAATGATTAGCAATGTGCTGAGGCGAGGGGCAACAGACGAGGCAAGGTGGTAAAGAATAAGTTAAATGGGTTGAATGGGTTGCAGATGGGGGCACATTAGGATGTAACCCCCATTTGGTCGCCTTTAACTGGATTGAACACCCAAGTTTTGTTACATATTGCCACATACTGTCACAATTTGCTCCATCTTCTCAGGGCGCATGCTCTGATTTATAGTGTTACTCATTCCGTATTATTTCGTCAAAGTGTGATGTGCACACATGAGAGGGTATACCTATTCGCATGGCCCCATTTTGGCAGCCATCCCGTGCACGCTGCATCGATGCAAGATTGCTAAACTATTTTGTGTATGTATATATCATTAGCAAGTTTTTCTAAGGCCGTGTTAGTAATTCACCTTATTGACATAACTTCTAATTTAAGAGACTTTTAAAAATGTGTATTAAGAGGAATATTTTTTTTTTTTTGCTGTATGTATATTCTCGGACTATTATGCCACCAAAAAAGGGTTTACAAAATTGTCATCGTGTGGCTGAGACCTGTTAGAGGAGATGCTCCCAGAAGTTGGGAAACTCGGAAAGGTGTTTTTTTTTCTTTATAATTTTTTTTTCGTTTTTATAAAAGTTTTAACATGCAAAAGCAAGTGCTACTACTATGCTTGTGTGAAGGGGTGTAACGGCGTCCGTCCGCATTTTCCTTATGTAAGTTTGTACATAGGCAAAAAAAAAAGAAAAAAAAAAAAAGAAAGAGGGTAACTATGTAGGAAGTTATGCACAACTTCTAACTACAAAAAATACAAAAAAATATGTACCGCAAAATGCATTTTTCATTTCTGCATTGAAATGCAAAAGAATTGCGACTGGGGGCTGCATACGCATGTATCTACACATACAATGAAAGAAAAACAAAGAGGGAAAAAATTAAATTATATAAAGATTTAATTCTGTAAACGTAAAAAAAAAGTAAAGAAACCTTCATTATGATGGATCACACAAATGTTCGTGGCGGATTTTTCGTATTTTTTGTGATCCTTCAGCCAGTTGGAATATTCAAAACGGAAAAAGAGCTAAGAAAATGGGTGAAAGGGCAAAGAAGGGTGCGAAATTTACTTCAAAAGGTAATTGTCAACTCGGTTATATTATATCTGCAATTGTTTTCTTTTTAATGATTTATTTCGTTTGCGTAGATTTACCTATATTTCCCGTCTGAATTTTTTATCAAGTATTTGTTGTACCTGAAATTTATTGCATTACCACCTTGTGTTACTTTGCGTTACATTACGTTACTTCTTTTTTTTTTCTTCATTGGGTGCAATTTTATCCAGTTCCGTAGGAATCCACTCCATTTCGTTCATCATTTTCGGCTACCTTTTGTTGCCTTAAAAGGTTGCTTACAGGTTTAAGGGTTCCCATTCCGCGGTTTACTGTGGGTCACTATGTCCTAAAGGTGCGTATCTATTATACATTCTTCCGTGCAACTGTTACGGATTGGAAGACACTCTATTGATCACATGTGGAGTCATCTTTTAAATTGTAGTAAGCTTCAAATTCTCTTTTTAAATTTTTTACGTCCTCGTACAATTCCTTAAATGAGCATCTTCTGGATGGTACAAATTGCAAACATTTTTTTATTATTTTTTTAATTTTCCTTTTCCATAAGACATCAGCAAAAATTCCTCTACTCGGCAATAAATCATTAATGGTGACATTTTTTTCTCCAGAATAAATGTTCGTACTGTTCTTACAATTCCATTCACACAACACATCGACTACCTTTACTTCGTCTTTGTTCACGACGCTTAATAAATTGTTTCCACCGAATAATTGGCATAATACTAGCCCGACGCTGAAGACTGTGGTTTCTGTTGTGAACTTGACAACCCATGAGTCAATATTTTGCATTTTAAAATATTCATTTTCTCTTTTTTTTCTTTTCTTCTTTTCCGATTCACTTAATTTAATTTCCATTTCTTTTATTTTCTCATCTTTTTTAATTAGAAACTCTTTTATTTCTTCGTTATCTGAGTAATGTTCTAGCGCACCATCATCCTTCATGTCATGCGTGCATATCTTCAGTAAGTAGTGACCTCTTAATATGTCTTCCTGTTCGCTATTTGGATGATGACTACGCGAGGTAGCTCGTTTTTCCGACGAGTCGGCATTCGCGTCTCCTGAATTGGCGTTTGGTGCGACGAGGCCAATCGGTTTGCATCCTGGGGGTACACTCTTCTGGTTTTCTCTAATGGGGTTGCTACTTATTTTGTTGTGGCCTTTGTTTCCATTTATTTTATTATCCCGTTCTTCCTGGAACAGCTTCCTGCTGTTGTAGGAGTTGCCGTCTTGGGAAATGACGCTGTTAGGAAATTTGCTGATCGGATTACCTCTGAGCGAGTTATCGTTGTTGCTGTTTCGAATGGTTCCATTTCCGCTTGCATCGGTCATATTGGGATGCTTGCGGGGAAGGTCCACCTTGACATTTACCGGGTGGGGAACTGGAGTGTTTCTCTCCATCTGGATCGTTATCTTACTACCCGTGTTGTTTCCTCTGGTGCTGGAAAAGGTGCTATTCCTGTTGTTATTCCTGGCCCTATTCCTGTTGTTATTCCGGGCGCCATTCCTGCTGTTATTTGTGGCACTATTCCTGTTGTTATTCCTGGAGCTATTCCTGCTGTTATTCCTGTTGCCATTCCTGTTGCTATTCCTGCGGTTATAGCTGGTGACACTGCCACAGTAAGTACTATCTCTCTTCATGTAAGAAACGGATGGGGCGTCATCCTCTTCATTAGTGCATGGACATTTTCGATTCACTGGACTAAAGGACTGACCACTAAGCATAAAATCTTTCTTCCTGACAATGGGCTGAATAAAACGCAAATCTAGGAGCTTCTTCCACCTGTGCTTTATTCTTAACTGTCTCGTTTTGATAATGTGGAAAATGTTCGAATCTGGACCATACCATGTCTTTCTAAACTGTTCGGATTTATTTAGAGATGACAATAGGAAAACTAGGAGGGCACATTCAGGAGAACAGAAACCCTTGGTACATATTACATAGTATAAGAAATTATTAAAGTTCTTTTGAGAATTATTAATTTTAATTTTTTCATAGTACGCAGGATTTGTTGGAAAATAGAAACGTCTGCCTGGTAAGGCATCGCCCACATCTATGATGGTAACATTTTTACAAACGATTTTTGACATCCCCGTTTCGTATTCAATCATAATATTTCCTGGTTTTGTGTCCCAATTAATGATTGGATTGTCAACAGATTCGCATACAATCATTAAATGTTTAACTAATTTATTGCAGATGTCCAGCAAAAATTGACCTTGTTTAACATTTTCCGTCCCTTTTAATTTGTGAATAATGTAAGTTAATGTACACCCGTCAATCATTTGCATAGCTACTCCTAGGACGTGCTCACTATTTTTTGTTATACCAACGGATGACCATAGATATTTTGGTACAGAACCTGGATGTTTTTTGTTTTTTTTTAAAATTTCTTTTGCTATGGGACTTTCGCGTGGTGCATTTTTCTCTTTACATCTTTTGCAAACATTGATTTTCATTTTGTTGGGATTGTTCATATTATGATTTGGACAACTGTCTGGTGCTTGGATATTTAGTGGAGGGTTCTGTAGGTCGTAATTCTGCCGTAAGTTCTTACGGGGGGAGGAAATACAAGAGACTACACTTTGGGGCATTTCTCTCTTTACTGGAGATGTGGGTTTGCAACCGCGTTCAGAAATTTTCGATAATTGTGTGTTGATAGAGGTATTATTTTGTTGCCTATTTTTGTCATTCGCTGTATCGGTAAGTTTATTTTTGACCTCAAAATTGGCAAATTTTTTTCCTTTTTTTGCATTAATTCCTCTTCTTCTTTTGTTTATAATTTTATATTTTGTTTTTAATTTAGTCTCCTTTTTCGTAACCCTTTTATTTCGAACATTTTTATTTTTGCCTTCCTTCTCGCTGTTGTTGGCGATTTGTTTGCGCTTTCTCCTGATGCTTTCCCTTTTCATATTGTTTCTTGTGTCTAGGTATATACTTCGGCTGTTGTTGCGGTTACTACGATTGCTGCGATTTTCGGGATTGCCTGTATTGACAGGATTGCAATGGGTGCCGCGGCTATTTTCGATGCTGCGACTGCCGAGTTCATTTCCACTATTGCTGGTGGCGTTTTTCGTTCTCCCAATTTCTTCGTTTTCTTCTTTGCTTCTTTCGTTACTATCCACTTGAAGAATGTGGTTATTTTCCTTCACACGTGGACCACTTTTCGAGACGCATGAATGACCAGAAATGTCCACATATTGAGCCGTCAGTTTTTTCTTCTTCGCAGTAATTGTGTCGCAAACATGGTTGTCTTCATTATTTTTTTCAGCGTAAATGTTCAAAAGGGTTTTGTTTAAGGTGCTTTTATTCCCATCATTTGGGGACGCCATATCTTTGTCGAAGAAAATGTTTAAGCAGTACTTGCATATAAATGGGTAAATAGCGTTGTTTGGAGAAGTGGTGGAAATGTCTCCAATTGGAATTTGACTCAGCTCGCTGGTGAGGTTGTTACTGCTGATGCTGTTCTGTTTAGTATTAGTGGTGGTGCTACTTAGGCCGTTACTTCCACAGATGTTTTTAACATCACTTGTTTTGTCAACTTCCATGCTGCAGTTGTACTTGGGTTGCTGCTCATAATTGCACGGGTGCATATCATTATTGGGGGATAATGTGTTATTCATTAAATTTCTGATGCTGAGAATATCTGAAAGGTACAAATCTAGGTTTTCATTTGAGGAGCGACCTGAATCGAGGTGTTTATTCTTGGAGCGACACACATCAAGATGGTTATTTGTGGTTGTGTCTTTTTGGGAACAGAATTTTTTATACGATTCTAGGTACTGGCTGCTTGATAAATCAGAGCTGGAGATATTCAGAGTTGAGAGGCTATCAAATTGGGTGGCTTTTTCACTTTGAAGAATATTTTTCACACTTTGCTCATGACATTTTCTTAGATGTTCCTGCGACTGGTACTTTCTCTTCGCATAATTTTCAATTTCGATGTTGACATTCTTGAGTTGTTTCCCCTCAGATAGGAGGCTGTGTATTTTGTACTTTAATTTGTATATGCCACATGTACTCGTATTTAATATTTTAATGGCGAATTTATCGGCTAGTATGTCTTTTGTCGAATGTTGATAAATTGTAAAGGGATTATTTATGGCGTCGTTGATGTAGTCGTATCTAATTACGTGCTTGATTATGTTGTACATTGTGTTTGCCTCCGTGGTCATTTTTTGCACAAGGAGCACTCTACACTGGTCTTTTAATAGGTCGTACAGGGACTTATATCCAGATATCTTTAAGAATTTTATTCTGTTTATTGCTTCGATGAGGCTTTTGCAGAGCGCGTTGTGTGGAGTGTCTTCGGGGCAGTTTTGCCGAAAGTTTTGGTGTCCATTTTGGCTTAAGTTGGCCATCTGGTTCGAGCTTGAGAGGTTGGCCAGTTTAACCCCTGCAGAGGAGTTACTACCACTGTTAGGACTGTTACCATTGATACTATTAATGCCATTATTGTTATCTCGGCAGATGGAAAAGGATTCCCTCTCCTTTTTCATGGTAGAGCAGCCTTTGTTACTCATTTTGTTCCTCAAAGTATTGGAATGTGTGTGGTTTGGGACTCTTGGTAGGGCAGTCAAATGGGCAAGCCCCGCGTTGCCCGGTTGGCCGTCTGTAATGAGGGCACCGTCCCTATTTGTGGAATTTGAGCCTTCTGGCCTGACATTGGAGTCTGCATTTTTATTAGCACTAGGGCTGAATTTCGCATTCTCATTCATATTAATCTTAACTATCTTGGGTGTGTATATATGGCTCGGGGCTACGTCGTTGGTATTAGCATTGCTGTTAGAAGTGCTGTCCACCACGTTGTTACCTGCGTTTTTGCAGTTCTTGATGCTACTTATATTTTCATGAGTACTGCCCACATTGTTGATGTGCGCCTTTTTCGGCATTTCTGCTTGGACGGGATTTGACTGATCGTTAGAAATCTGTTTGGAGGTGCCCCCCTGTGGCAGATTAATATAAGACGAAAAGCTTCTTTTCCTGGAAGGTGAGTTTTTTGAATTTGTTGAACTGTCTTTGCTATCTTCATCTGCGACATTTATAGTATTCGTAAAATACTTAAGAATCAAATTGGAATCCTGAGAGTGCTTGAGGAAATCCTCTACATTGCTGTCATCAATTTCGAGATTTTCCCCATAATTTTGATTATATATATTTGTTTTCAGAAAATCATAGCTGTTTATATTTCTCTTAAGTAAACTATAGAAGCTTTCAAAGTTTTGAATGTTGGAGTAGAAAAAGCTGCTAATATTGTCCATTGCCACAACCTCTGCTTCGTACACATCAAATTGGCATTTATTTTGCGAACTCAGTTTTTTCCCTAACTTTACGAATGCATTTCCAAATTTTATGTCATAATCTATCGTCTTTACGAACTCTAGATATTGTTTAAATGAATTACAACCCTCGGAAAATTTTTTCATTTGAGATTCCTTCACACTGCTAGTAGCTTTGGAACTTATTAGGTTGTCATTGGTGAATTTATCCTTTTTGGCCCTGTTTCCACTATGGGAAGTTACTGCATTGTCTGTATCTTCCTTCTTGTTGTCTATTTTATTATTTTTATCTTCTTCTTTGCTCTTGGAGAATCTATTATTTTTTTTTTTTCCACCTTTAGTGCACTTAGAATTCAGCATACTTCTTTTTTGAATATTTTTATGCTGATAACTGATCATTCTTTTTTCTGTTTTTTTTTTTTTGCTTTTTTTCTTTTTTCTTGTAGTAATGCACGTGTTGTGCTCATTGAAGCCCCTTCTGTTTTGGTCATTTCCCTTCCGTTCGTTATCGTCGTCCTTGTTCTTGTCGTTGCTGTTGTCACCGTTTGCTCTGCCGCTTCGCTCGCTGTTGTTTTTGTTCTTGTTGTTACCGTTGCTGCTGTTGTCTGCACCGCTCTTTTTGTCACCCTCATTGCCTTCCTTGTCGCGTTGGTTGTCAATGCCTTCGTCCTTACCGCCGCCTTCGTTATCAGCACGTTCGTTATGACCAGTTTGGTTGTTGCCGCCTTGTCTGTCACTATCCTGGTTGTCGCCAACGTCGATCTTGGCCCCACACATGCAGAAGATGTTCGTAATTAGGTTCACATTATTGCAGTTTCTGTAGCCACTCAATACACTGCTCTTATTTAAAACGTGCGTATTCCCGTTTGGCAAATTACCCTTGCAATTCCGTGGGAGCATTCCTCTATCCGTTTCGTTGTTTAAGGCCTTATTGGATGGGTACTGTTCGTCAGAGCGAGATTTCTTTAAGTAGTTGTTAACAGGGACTCCTCCATTAGTATTATGAACGTTTGGGTCCTTTTTCATACTCGAAATTGCCTCAAATGAGTTGTCAATCCTGTTGATAGGGGAATAATCTTGATTTTCGCTCACACTTCGGTTTTTGCAAATTTTACACAATTTATTTTGTTTGTTCAAATTGTTATTATTAATGATATACACGCCGTTGGGGATGGTATAATAATTTGGTGGGCCATTATTTTGATGAGGCTTGGTGTACCTGTGGGTGCAGTTTGTTTCTTTGTTTTTGTCGACGGTTCTGCTGAAATAGCTGTTATTCGTGTTGTTGAAAAAAACGTTGAAGTAGTAGATGATGTCCTTTTTTTCTTTCTTCGAGAGTTCGCTACTTTTAAGGAAAATGCTGTTGCCGTACTGGGGAAGGTGACTATTTCTTCCCATAAAGTTGTTGCTGCTGGGGTAGGGGCTGTTCAGATAACGGCAATAGCAGTTTTGGGAGCTGTTATGGAGGAAACAGTTGTAGCAGTAGCCGTTATGATGGTAACCATTCTGGTGGTAGCCTCTATGGGGGTTGCTACTATGGAAGTAACAGCCATAGTTGCTGCGGCAATAGCTATTGAACCCATTTCCGCAACCGTAGTTTCCATGTCCGTGCATATACCTTTCTCTGCGCATAAAACTACTCGGATTTTTTTGCCATCTTATTTGGTGCCCATTGTGGCAGGAACTCATATGGTTCATATTATGGTGTAAAATGTTTTGACATCCGGTGCAGAAGCTTCTATGGTATCTACGTGGCTCTATAGAACGGGTTAACTGATCTCTAATAATGATTATGCTCGTATTGGAATAATTTTCTATATGTCTATTATTCATACAATTGTTGAGATGTGGGTGTGTGTAGTTTCGCGTGTAGTTCATTTTGTTTTCCATCTGATCAGTCCCCCTAACCACGTTGTTGTGAAGTTTAGTGAAACTTTCTTTTTCTATGTAATAATGGTCACCACCGTTAGGATTCATTTTGGCGATATTTCTTCTGCTGCCATTCGGTTTATGTGTGTGATTGGTTGAATTATCATCGCTGCTACCTGAATGTTTTTTGTGATTGCCGCTTCGATGCATGACGTGGAGGGTTAATTTTCCTTTCACTTGGAATTTTAAATATTTAGAGTGTCTATCTTCTGATCGATCCCATATCCGTGGGTGGGAATTATTCGATTTGTTCCTTTGTGTATGATCACCTTGTGTATTATCACTTGTGCATGTTCTTTTCCCCCTTTCTTCAGATTTAAGCGTGCAGTTGTGGATGTAAACCACTTCGTTTTTTTGTTGTCTTGCATGAAGGCTTATGTCTATGTCTGTTCGATTTTTGAGGCTGTTCTCGTGTGTACTACCACGGGAGCTTCCACTGGAACTGCTATAGATACTATTTGCATTGCGATCAGAAGGGGCGTGGAAGCTAGACCACTGCCTCTTTCGAGCATATGCTAATTTCACAAAATCGCGTTTGAGGAAATCAGTAAACGTATGTATAACATGTATGTGCAAGAAGTTTTTACTGCATTCTGATGCACCTGCGCTGGGCTTCTTTAACTTATGCCTCTTTTTGCAAACATTCCTATATTTTATTATGGTATCAGATGGAGCAACAAGGTAGTGGCAAAAGTAGAGAATTAGCTTCTTCATTGCGTAATACAGTATAGTATGATGACTTAAAGAACTGCGTGGGTTATTCTGATGATGAGGAAACATTTCGTTTTGATGTACACAATGATGCGACTTTTCTGTCTCCCCCTTTTTATCCTTGAAATGTTGCAAATATGTTGCAAAATTTATTTCCACTTCAGATTTGATACCTTCGAGTTTCTGATCAGACAACCAGTTTAGAAACTCTCTTTGGCAATACTTTTCCTGCTTACTACAACGTTTTCTACAGATATGATGAAAAAAATGTTTGCGCTGGTATTTCACAAGCCCATGTCGATCTCCAAAGTAGTAGAGTAATAAACTTATTTTTTCTTTCGTGCGTAGCAGAATTTTTCTCTTTTTAAAATGATGAGTAATGATATGTTCACATAGATGAAGAAAAAAAATTGCATAATTGACGATATTCTGATATTGTGTAACCAGAATTTTGTATTTTCTGAAAAATAAGAGTTTTGGAAAGGGTAATTTGTTGCTCACTGTGGTAGCGATGGAGATTGCATTGGAAACAGCTCTAAAGATGGCGAATGTTGATAGTTGTTTTTGGCAGAACGAAGGACCCATTTCTGTGATGCAATTTTCTAGGCAATTTTGTACGCACAAAAATGACTGCTGATGAGTTATACTACAGAAGCTACTTATAATTGCCTTCTGAAATATCACATAGCAATGACGTCCTAAATAAATTGCTTGGTACAATTCGTAGTAAACATCATTTCGTATGCATTGATGGGTGTCTCTTTGCATGCAATATGGTATGCTTATTATCCTTGCGATTCCGATTGGACATATGCCATGGTACTTCTTGTTTGTGGAATTGAAAAATTCCATAATGGTGCCGCGTACATTATATGTTTTACACATAATTGTTGAAATTGCTAACGATATAAAACTTCTGTTGTTTTTTATTTGGGGGACGGCACTGCTCAAGTGGTTTAGGAAGTCTACTACGTCTGCGATGGTTTCTGTTTTTTCTTTCTTATTCTTATTTGTTTTTTTCTTCTTTTTGTTTTTTTTTATTTTATTTTTTTGTTTATTTTGGTTTACATTAGGAATACTTCTCAACTTGGTGCTGCAGTTCGTGGTAGCAAAATTATACTTCAGGAGACAGCACTCAAGAAAAAGGACACACAACGACGGGGTTCCTTTGCACGGTTCCATGCAGTTGACTTGATAATGCATGTCTAGATTATACACATCCATGACAACTTGGTGTACTACGATCAATGATTCCTTGTTCGGTCGCCCGAATCTCATATCCTTTGTGTTATTTCTTTTGTGAAATGAAGAGTTTGATTGTGCTTTTTTTGAGATGACTGGCCCCATTTTACCTCGATCATTTGCTTGACTATTTCTTTTTGTGCATGTAAAATATTCCATTTTGACAACCTTCTTTTTAATGCGAACAGTTAACCTTCTTCCTTCATCCCTCTTTGTGCATTTAGTGTTATATTCTATACACTTGAGGTATGGAGAATAGCCTATAGGATACTTTTCAGTGTTGTCTAATATGTCCACAGAGCGTTCGCCCCCTTTTGAGACCCTGTCCTTACGGACTCTAGGTAGACACTTTTGTGCAGTGCTAGATTCTAGGTTGTCCTTACAAAATTTAAAAAAATTTTCACAAGCTATCTTGAGATAAAGTGCACTGTTTCGTAAGGCTAGGAAATTTTCTACAGTGTTAAGGAAAATCTCCTTCTCGAATGCGTGTACCTTTTTTCTTAATTTTCTCTCCTTCATGAATCCCCTTTTAGCGTTTTTCGAACAGTTTCTAGGAATAAGCTTTTCCCATTTTTCATTGTTCAGAATTATTTTTCCTTTAAAAGTGTTTTTAATGGTTAACAATTGGTGCTTTCTGTTCGATCGATTGTCCTGCTTTGTTATTTTTTTTTTTCCCTTTATTTTACTTATCTTTTTGTTAAGTGTACCTTTCAGCTGTTGGGCTCTGCAAGAATTGGGTTCAGATTTGTACTTAACAAAATGCCTGTCCCTGTTATTTAAAGTGGAGGTCACTTCATTTCTTTCTGTTGGTATGTCCTCTTCGTCCTCTTCTTCATTTTGAGTGCTCTGTGTCGTTTGCATATTCATCTGCTTTTGCTTTTCTCTCGTACACAGGGAACTCACATTCGTTCTGCAGCATGACACATCATGCTCTAGATACTTCTCCTTGTACGTTTTATTTGTATACACCAAAAAGTCCGAACTACACGAGCCCCTCAAAAGGAATACAGCCCCATTATCACTATTGAGCATTGGTTCTACATCGTTAGACTTAAGGTTAAAATGGCTGGTTTTCAGGTACGTTAGATAAATCATTTTCTTTTTTTGGTGCACAATGTACAAAGCAAAGGCATAGTTACGCAATTTTAATTATACTTTAATTGTTTACCTATCTACCACATCGGATGCAAATGTCCGTTCATGTAAATTTGGCGATTCGGACAATGTAGGAAATTTGGGAAATTAGGGCACTTTCTTGTAAGTAGATCTTACGATGCTTCTTCACTTAATAAAAATGAAGGCACGAATCAGCAGCTGCAAGGAGTTATGAACATAAATCAAGAGATAACTGGATCAAATAACTTAATTTCGAAAGCATTCACTTCTCCTTTCGTGAACGTGTCAATGCGTCAAGGGTAAGGATGCAAGGGAGTGGAAGTGAGGAAGTAAGAGTAAAGAAGCAAAGGTATGGAGGTGATAACTTGGGAAGAAAATCCTGGAAAGGAAACTTTAGAGACAACAATTTGGAAACAGTAACATGGAGGAAATGACTTGCAAGTAAACATGTATAAACAAAATAAAAGAAAATAAGTAAAATAATTCGCATTTACAAATTTCAACATTTCATTAAAAATAAGAAAAAAGGTGTACACATGAATGTGAACACACAAGAAGGGTGGCACAAAAATATGTACAGACGAACATTCATAAAAATGCGTACGTGTACTAAAAAAAAGGGAGGTGTCTGAAATTAATAGCATATTAATTTCCTACCCTTGCATGTGAATAGGTGAAGTTTTCTTATGCAATGGAATTCTATAGGATATACTAGAAAATGGGTTTGTGTTATCGTTGTATTTTATTTAATTAAGACTTCGTACTATAAAAAAAAAAAAAAAGGGACAAAAAGTTTCACTACACAAAAGTATAATAGGGTACAATACTATAGTTCAAAATGGCACAAACAGTTTATATTTAATATACCCCTTTTATTACGTACATTTTTTAATGGTTTCTATTTCATAAAAACAAAATAAGAAATTGTAGAAAAGATGAATGTGCGTTGTTTGACACATGTAGTGCATTTTTTCGATTTTATGCTTTGTAAAATACTTCGAGATGTTTTCGGGGAGATGTAACAACGGTCACCCGTTCAGAACGAAAGTGTATCTGACTGGTATTTTCTCATGCAGTGCGCCAAACGTATGCATGAGTACATTTGTGTACACCTGTGCTTATTTATGCAATGCACTTAGGTACCCCTGACACATTAACATAGCAGGCGTGTGAAAGCATGTAGATAATATGCCTTACGTCACAAGTGCTACGCACACTTAAAAATGGAAAAAAATTCACAATGGTTTGATAAACGCGTGGACAAAAAAAAATGTCGAAAAAATCGCGATAAAGGGCACAAAAGGAAAAAAGAAAAACAATTTCTATACTTAAGCAAAATAAACAGAGAAAAATACTTAGTCATTTATGCCTAGATATAAATGTTTCTCTTTTCTCACTAAAAAAAAGAAAAATAAAAAATCCTAAGGAAATAAAAGAACCAAGATGCAAATTCTATACATACGTAGAGACTACAGTGTATCATGGTATGTGTACACTTTTCTCAAGAATAAAAATGGGGTTACTTTTCAAAATGGGGAAAAAAATTATCTGTTCTAATCACATTTTTGAAAACGAAATATTTCTAAAATGCGGGAGCAGAAATTTACAGAAAAATCAAAAAAGGATTCTTCAAAAACGTACCAAAAAAAGCATACACAAGGGTATACAAATATATACAAATATCTATATATATCTATATAGATATATATGCGTACGCGTGTAACATACGGTGAACATATAACCTGCTTAAGCATACTTAATTATAAAGGGAGAGGTGTACATATTCAACCAACCCAATGAAGACATAATACGAACGAAAAAAATGGATGACTATGTGGAGAAAAGAAAAAAAAGATATGCACATCATCAGCGATACTTGTATTAATTTACAAGCTCGTTTGTTACATTTTTTTTTCCCTTGTAACGAAAATAAAGTGTATAATTTTGTTCTAAATAAAAAAAATACATATAATGAATAAATGACAAAATGTATATAAAAATTTTGCGCAAATTTAATGAGGGATTTATTTACGCTCCTGAAAAAAAGAAAAACACAAAAAAAAGAACAAGATATATAACCTATAGTTGCAAAATATATTCATAGCAACCGAATAGCAATTTTCGTCAATTTTAAGTTCGGGAAGAATTACACAAATATATCTATTGATGGCTTCAATATGCGCATATACATGCATGCATATACGCACATATATATGTTCTTTTTTGCTTGTGCAAGCTCGCATAAAATTGCCCACGGGAGCCCTATCTCTTGTATAGTTTGTTTAATGAATTATGCTTTAGTTTTGTTTTTTCTTTGTTCTGCATTCCTTTTTTTGTTTTTGTGTATATGTTCATTTTTTTTCTTGCTCTGTTGTTTTGTATTTATTTTAGCGGTTTTGTTTTTACTTGTTGGTTAT